TTCCCTCATTTTGTTTCAAACAAATTGTTTGATCTTTTGTTATTTGTGGTTATTTTGATTAAAAGCGTTTATATTATTTTATTATCTGTGAAATAAATATTTTATTTTATAATGGACGACGAAGATGATATTTTAGATGGATTGATATGTTTACTGTTGTGTTTAATTTATATGCAAATTCAGGAAAGAAGGTCATTAAAAACATCATGTATCATTGCAGTCAATTAATTTGAAGGTATTTTTAGATGGTGGGTCAGACCAATATTCCAACAAAGGAAAGAGAAAGGTGTCTTTGCTAATTTGTTTCATGAAATAAAAACGAATGATCATGAAATGTTTTTAAAATACACCAGAATGCTTCCGGAACAATTCGATTTTATTTTGTCTCTGGTAAAACATAAAATATTAAAGCGAAGCAGGAGAGAATATTTAAGTCCAGAATTACGTTTGGCAATGACTCTAAAATATTTGGCCCATGGGGGGTCATTTCAAAATTTATCCTGGGAGTTTAGAGTAGGACACTCAACTGTTTCCAAAATTACACTTGAAACTTGTGAAGCAATTTGGAAGGAATTGCAACCTAAATATTTAAAACCTTTAAATAAAAATGACTGGTGCACTATTAGTGATCAATTTCATGACAGATGAAATTTTCCACATACTCTGGGAGCTATTGATGGAAAACATGTCCGATAAATAGTGGCTCCCAATATTTTAATTATAAGGGTCATTTTAGCACAGTGTTACTTGCATCCTGTGATGCAGAATATAAATTTATTTGGGTTGACATTGAAGCATATGGTTCTGAACATGATGACGGTGTTTTTAGAAGATCAAAAATGGGAAAAGATCTGGAAGATCTGGTAGATGGTAGTAGGCCAGGGCCCCAAAATCTTCCCAATAGTGATACTGTCATGCCTTACTTTTTTGTTGGAGATGAAGCTTTTCCATTAAAGTCCTATATAATGAGATCATATCCTGGAAAACATTTATCTGATAAAAAAATTATTTTTAACTACAGGTAAAAGAAACTTTAAATTTTTTGTTTTATTATTAATATATAACTTTATAGATTATCCCGTGCTAGAAGAACTATCCAAAATTCATTTGGAATCCTAGCAAGCAGATAGAGAGTCTTTAGGCAACCTCTGCTATGCTCTATTACAACCACTGAGGCAATTGTTAAAGCAACTGTATGTTTGCATAATTTTTTACGCACTGAAACACCCCAAACATATACACCTCCTGGGTTTATAGATGATGTATCAGAAAACGGTGAAACAGTAGATGGAGGGAAATTACAAGAAATGATGCAAATTTAACCCCTGTGGGTAGAATGGGATATGTAGACGACATCCTAACATGTTTCACAGATACAAAAAGACAATTAAATAGCTTCCTAAAGTTTATTAATCAAATACACCCCAATATTAAATTTACAATGGAAGAACAACTAAATAATCAAATTAACTTTTTAGATCTTACTATTAAAATAAAAAAGTACTCACACATTTAAAATCTACCATAAACCCAGTTACACAGACATAACAATACATAATAGTTCCTCACATCCTTTTTCTCAAAAAATAGCAGCCTTTAATTCCACGATACACAGACTTTTAAACGTACCAATGACAGAATCCGATTTTCAAGATGAATTCAATTTAATTAAACAAATTGCAGCGAACAATGGTTATAGCGCACAATTAATTAATAATATTCTAAGTAACAATAAACTGAAAATGGCTATAAATCAAGTATTCCCAACATCAAAGAACCCTACATCTACATATAATATTGTCACATACTTAGGCACTAAAACAAGACAAGTGTCGAATTTCTTCAAAAAAAATAATATACAAATAGCATTCAAAACCAACAACAATTTGAGTACATTTCTAAAAAATAACAAAGACAAACCTAAGAAAGACACGAAATCTGGACTCTACCAACTACAATGTGCAGATTGTCCAAAAACTTACATAGGACAAACAGGCCGCAATTTTAAAGCTAGAATTAATGAACATCGAAAATCTTTTATTAATCAAAAACAGATTCAACGTATGATAACCATTTAATTCAAGAAAACCATTCATTTAATAATAATTTCAAAATTTTGCATGTTGAAAAAAGGGTTAAATTTACTATATTAATATTATATAAGATAGAAAATCCCCAAAATTATTTTATTACAACTTTTGTTATACTCCGACAGGTAAAATAATTATAATTATACCGTACTAATATTTTATAAAAAAAAACCATTACCTACCTGCAATAATTGTGTTATATAAGTTCGTTATTAGATAAAGTTTGAAATCATTTATGAAGAGGCTACAGTGTTAGCGAAACAATTGTCAAATAAAATTTAAATAAATTCGTGAAACTCAAAAACAGTGTTTGTTTTTTATCCAGTTATATATTACTAAAAGTTTTTTTAATTTACTGTTTTCAAGCTTAAACTCTTAAATAATATTTAAGAGTTCTGGTATTCCCCGAACCTAATCAACTCAAATAGCAAACCGAAAATACCAATGGAAAATCTAACTATTATTATTGATAACATATATTATTATAATAATATAATAATAATAATAATATATAATGATAACATATATTATTAACATATATTATTAATGATAACAAATATCTAATCCAAAATAATTTCGAATAAATTTAATATGTTTTTTAAAAATTATCAGCTCTATAAAATCAAATATTAGGAATAATGTATCTAAAATAAATATTAAGTCTAACAACATCTTTCTTTTTCCATTTTCAGATAATGAAATGATCTCTCTTATTAAAACTAAACTTAAATCAACAAAATCAGCTGGACCCGATGAATTTCCATGTTATTTATTAAAACTTATAAGTGAAGAAATTTCTAAGCCACTTGTACATTTAATTAATCTTTCCTTTACTTCAGGGATCTTTCCTGAAAATCTTAAAATTAGTAAAGTGATACCTGTTTACAAGAAGGATTCCAAACAGGTACTGAACAATTATAGGCCAATTTTAATTTCTTCCTCCTTGGCAAAAAGATTTGAATATTGTTTCTTGTCTAGATTACAGCCTTTTTTAAAGAAAAATAATATTTTAAAAAATAATCATTTTGGATTTAGGGAAAATTGCTCAACATCAAAGGCAATAAATTATTTCTATGACAAGATTGTTAGTTCTTTGGAAGCAGGAGAATGCCCGACTGGGATTTTTTGCGATCTTAGCAAGGCATTTGACTGTGTAGACTGCCAAAGACTTTTAGATAAATCTGAACAGCTTGGAATTAGGGGTCCTGCTTATTCCTGGCTTGCTAGCTATTTAAGAAATCGCAGACAATATGTTTCTATACGACATATAGATAACAACAATATGGACACATGTGTAAACTCTGAGATACAGGTTGTTGACATGGGTGTACCTCAGGGTTCAGTATTGGGTCCTGTGCTTTTTAACACGTCAGACCAGAGAACAGCTTACTCTAACTCATTACGAAAGTCCGTCAGACCAGAGAACAGCTTACTCTAACTCATTACGAAAGTCCGTCAAATGGTACAGGAAAGTGGCATTTGAGTTGATAACTGGCACTTCAGTGGTAAATTCTTTAATTATTTTTAATTCAATCAATCAAAGGAAAATGTCAGTTACACAATTCAAAGAGAATGTGTGCCTACAGCTTCTACAGACTAGAAACCCACCCCTTCCCGTACAAGTTCAGCAAAAACATGAACTTACTCAAAATGCTCTAAACAAAAGAGGCAGATGCACGATTTGTTATAAAAAAACTCCGAACTACACGGAAGAAATTATGCTGTTAAGAACACAAAACGAGGCATTTATGTATGTAATGGATGTGAAGGAAATCCATTTATGTGTTTAGACTGTTTCTTTGTCAACCATGTTTTCACAAAGAAAAATTGAAAAAAAATATAATCGATAATAACAGACGTTTTTAGTTACTTTTCGATTGAAAAATACGTTATTTTTGCTTATATGCACTCGGTAGTTTCCTAAAAAAAAATTGAAAAAATAAAAGTTTATTCCAAGTTTATTGTATTATTGGCCATGCCTCAAAAAAACTAAAAAAAATCCAGGCCATTTTATTATAGTATAGTGCCACGCCAGACCCATCGATATTCCCATGTAAATACACAGCAGATGTGTAACAGCCACGCACACATGGCCGAGAATCTTTCTAATACATGTGTCCAATATAGGTACACATGGCAGAGAATTAAAATCTCCTGGGTCCATTTATGGTACATACGGCAGTTAAAGTGTTAATAAGTTTGTAACTTCTGATAAAATCGTGAATTCTTTTGTTTTTTTATGACTATTCAACTCGCAATATTTGACATTTTATAAATTAAATAAATAATAATAATAAAAAATGAAAAGTATCACTATAAAAACTTTTGAACTGTTGAAAGAATAAACAAAGAAATTACATTATATACATTCTAAGTATAATTATTATTATGTTTTTTTTTTGTAAATTATTAATTGGGCTAAAATTCTATATCAAATTTGAAAAGCCTTTTAGCTCTTTTTTATTGTCATTTCTTACTCTAGTAATGTATTACATTTTTCTTTTACGTACATAATTTTTTTTTATCGTAGGCGGAAGTAGCGCACAAGAATAATAATTTATTTAAGCTTTGCGATACATATCGTCAGAGATATGTAAACAATTTTCAACGAAAAAAATATTATTAGGTTAATTTTAAGTGCCCGCTTTATTTTATTGCTCTAGCGTTTGTTATGGCGTCTTCTAGAGCTAAAAAAATATTGGAGGTAACCCAAAAAAATATAGAAAGTGAGAAAGTTTGTGTTTATAGTGAAAATTTAGACGCAATTACACATAAAAATATTCCGGATATTTCTGAGATAGATAAGTTATGTGTAACGCCTTCACGGGAAATCAGTTCTAAGGAATATCATGAAAACGGTCGAGTATCTCCGGTCGGAGTCGGTGATCACATAGATCAACTGATGTGCTAATGCAGCATATCCATTTAGATTTAGATCCTTTTGGTAGTGACGATTGTGAGGATGAATTATCTTCATCAGAAGATGAAGAGTTGATAAACATTGAGAACGAAAGAGAGGACAATTCAGAAACGAAGTATGATGATGACGTGGGAGGGATTGATGATCAAAACGAAAGTGAAATCCCCCAAAATAAAGAATGGGAGGATATTACCCCTGAAAACTGCCATCTGGAGCCTAGCGTAGATTTTACTAATAAATGCCCTGCTGATATTTTTGGTTATTTTTTAAATAATAATGTTATAGTAACAGAGACTAATCGATACGCTACCCAGCAAATAACCAAAGGCCTTATTCGAAAATAAGAGTAAAAAGTTGGAATAAAACAGACAGAAATGAAATAAGAAATTTTTTTGCTATTTGGCTGGTAATAGGAATGGTAAAGGTACCATTTATAAACCTTTATTGGTCAAAAGATAAAATGTTTCACAATGATTTTATTGCATCTACCATGAAACGTGACCGATTTTTGTTGCTGCTAAAATTTATTCATTTTTCTAACAATGAAGATGCACAGCCAGGTGCCAGGTTGCATAAAATTGAAAATGTTCTCTAAATATTGCTAAAAAATTACAATCTAATTTTGAAATCTGGCAGGATACTTACTGTTGATGAGACAATGGTTCCTTTTAGAGGAAGGCTGCAATTTCGGCAATATATTCCAATTAAAAGCCATAAATATGGAGTTAAATTGTACAAGCTATGCTCTCCTAATGGATACGCATTTAATATTAAAGTTTACGCTGGGAAAGGTGACACTACTACCGATTTAGGGCATTCTCATGTAATTGTTTTAAAAATTTTAAAAATAATTGATCCTTAACAAGGTAGATTAATCTTTGGAGACAACTTCCCTTTATCCCTTAATCCTTTTAGTAAGAGATTTATACAAACAAAAGATCCCTATGTAAATTATTAACAAAAAATTAAAAGAGGAGAAGTCATCGGGAAAGGGAATACTGAAGTTAAAATTATAAAATAGCACGCAGTCAACGTGTTAAGTATGTTTTAAATATTTTTTTTACTATTTCCTAAATTTTCAGGCCAACCTTGTAAAAGTCGGAATCCCGGACCTGCTAAGCCCCGTCTAGATCCGGAGAAGCTTCTAGCCCTAAAAAGTATGTAACTATGCCCAAAAATTATTTAATATCACTTAAACAATAGTTTTTTGGTTTTACTTTATATTTAACAAGATTTAATTTTTTTATTTAATTTTTGGGCATATACCAAAATTATCTAATATCCAAAGGTATAGATGAAAATCTGAGGTATTGAAATAAATAAAGTAAATTCATTACTTTAAAAAAAAATATTTGAACTCTCTCGAGTTGAAAATCCCAAGAAGGTAATTCTTTTAACACTTTCATTTTAAACTCAAATAAAAAAAACAATTTTTTTTAGATTTCCGATAATAATGAGGACAAGGTTTTAATTTATCTAGATGGATATATTTTTTTCAAAAGGAAATTGACAATTGTTAGTAGCAATTGCCAATTTGCTACTGTAATCAAATTAATTGAATTAAAAAAAATTATTAAATCCAATTAAAGTGTGTGTATTGATTATTATTCTATTAATTGACTTTTATTTTTTAAATCTCCTTTAGTTTTCTTTATTTTCTAAATATTTGATTATGTATTATTAAAAAATCAGAATATTTTTAAGAAAACAAAAATTAATTTAATTTTTTACTAGTTAAAAAAAACTTTTATTTTTATTTTGCGGTTTTCATATATAGAAATATGCATTGATAATTTACATACAACATAACAACAGCGCCACCTGTTGCTCGATCTGACCACTCGACGGACACTGGGGGCAATCGTAACCTTCTTTATCTCTGCAATTGTATTTATTACTTCGGCCGGTAGCGAATGGCATTTTAATGGTTTGTCTTTTGTCCGAGGTTTTGTTTTTCGTAAAAAAGTTTCAAAACAAACGGTTAAAGGTTAAAGTGCAGTGCAGTTAAAATAGTGCGTAAACGGTGGCCACGGGGGCATTGCATTACACTTCTCTTACAAGGGGGTTATATTTTGTGGTGTAGGTCTTGTGAGCCCTAAAAAAACACTAAATATTAGACACAGAGGTATATAGTCCCTAAATTTTTTATTTGATGTGTGAGTTTATTGAAATCTGGAAAGGGAAGACTTTAGCTTGACTTTTTAAGGTTGGTTGTGTCCTAAGAATGTAGTAGTATTGATACATACATGATATATTTTAGGTACTATCATTATCACAAATGGGCAGTAAGAGTAGAAACCTTCATTTAGCTGAAACCACAAAAAATTCACAAAAGGAGCATGTGCAACAGGCAATTTGACAATAAGTTTACAATAATGAAACGCCAACATCCTATATTGCTACCCCAAAGACAACTCTACGAGATAATAGTAACGATACAGCTTTTAATTTAAGCATTATTGCACCATCTGAAAAAGGTTTGTTTAGTACATTGACAATTAAATAATATATAGAGACTTGGTTTGTAGAATTTTGAAAACAAGTTTTGACCACTAAATGTCATAATTGCCAAACTGGGAAGGCATGACGAGCAGTTGGATAATATAGATGCTCTATTAGCAAGTAGTCCAAATGATATTGACGAAAATACTCCTTTCAATACAGGAATTGATAAGCTTCCTGTAAGTGATGACGATGAGTTGACTCTCCAGCAGTTTATTAATGAACCATTAAACTTCAAGGCATTGGTAATTTTTAATTATTTTGGATAGTTCAACCTATAAATTTTCTTTTAGGTTAAAGAGCTTAGAAGATTAGGGGGACAGATGGTTTCTGAAATTACAAGAAAAATAATGTACCGTATCATAACAAATAAATTTGCTTAGCTGTACAGTTGGGAAGGTGGCAAAGAAAAAAGGAAATTTGTAAATCTGACCCTGTCTAGGGTATATAGTGATATTTGTGTAACACTTTTTTTTTATAACTCTGATATAGTCTCTTCTCTATAACTATGGTTCTAAATTTAAGCCAGGAATTATTCAAAAAGGTTCAATAAACAGAGTAGTAAAATAGGCCAAGCTAAAAGATCTTTTTATGGTATTCGCTTTTTTTAAATCTAATGAACTATATTATATCTTTACACTAAAAAAATAATTATATAATTTTTTTATAGATCCTTACACCTAAAAAATTTTTTTGACATCCTTTGGTTTAATAACCAATACATTTTTGAAAACCTGTCGTAAAAACGTTTGTCTTTTTTATAGGAATATTTTTTTATATTTTGACAGTCCCAAACCAGAGAACTCTCCCATCTGGTGTTAATGAAATCTAACATTTAGGATGCTGTGAGATGTAATAAAAGAACCTTAAATCCGTAATATGATTAATTATCGATGATATTTACTCATTGAATCCGAAGCAGCACATTTCACTCGTCCTGCGGACTAGTGAAATCTGCAGCTCGGTTTCAATTCGAAAATATCATCGATGATCATCATACCACTTGTTATATTATGGGTGATTATAGTATACATTATTAGCCTTATTTTTATTGCTGGATTAATATTTCAAATATTATATAAGTAGATTCCATTAATATATTTTTAGTAAATAGGAAAACAAAAAAATGTTGTATACAAATTATTTTAAAATATAACATAAGTTTCACCCAAATAACCAAATATAATTGGTTAGAATGTATTTAAATGTAGGTATTGTAAAAATAAATTTTTAAATTAAACATGTACTAAGGCCCCAAAAAAATGTAATCCACAATAAATGTGCATCCCAATTTTTGGGGTCCCATGACGTTTAATTTAAAAATGTATTTTTACAATAAATTGATATACCTGCTATATTTATTAATTATTAAAGTAGTAACCAAAGCAACTTTAATGATGTGCATGAAGTGCACTATTAATAAAAAATATTTTGGTTACATACAAATTTTGTAAGGTTAAAAAGTTCCGCCACTAAAATGACAAAAAATGCAAATTTATTAAGGGCAATTGATTTGGTTTGTACTATGCCACATATGACAAGCTTAAGCAAATGATCGACTTACATTTCGGAGGCCAGGTGGCAGATAACACAACAGCAAACAAAACAATCGAAGCACTGGAGGAAAATATAAAAACTGGTAATTCATCTAGAAGAACAAGTTAAAGATCTTAAAGAGATAATTTAATTAACCAAAGAAAATAATAACCCCAAAATTAATATAAACAAATATGAAGTTAGCTCCATTGATAAGAATCCTAATAATTCTAAGGTTGGCAACAATGAAGGAAACAATGTTGCAAAACAAAGAGCACCAGCTACAATGAAAAAACTGCAAATGCAAATGCAAAAAAATGGGATTTATAAAGTTGTCAACAGTGAAAAACCTCAAGGTGACTTAGCAAATGTAAATAAAAATAAACAAATAATAGGTGATAGAGATCCAAAAGAACTAAACTGTGGCTTCAGTGCAGTGACAAAAAGAGCGTGGCTACACGTTGGCAAAGTAAATAAAGGAACCAAACCAGACGCAATTGAAAAATTCCTAAAAGAAAAGTACAATCGTAATTTTACTGTTGAGGCGCTCGAGATGCTCTTAGTATTTTATTTATGTTGGGGACACACTTTGACCTCCTAGAGCATCTAGAAAATAGTGCAAATTGGCCAAAGGAAATAATCAATAAAAGATTCTTTTTTCGTCGACAAACAGCTAAATTTCAACAATAAAAACGTTATTAAATGCTTTTCAACCGAGGATATAAAACAATTGTTTGCTATTCTTAATTTTAACATACAATCTCTTCAAAATAAAACGAAGCATTTAAGCATGTATACTAAAGAAAAACAGCCAGATGTATTGTGCATCACTGAGCACTGGTTAAATAACAATCAAATTGATCTATTGTAAAATTTACTCATGGAGGTGTACTAATTGCTGCACAAAAAAATGGACAGCATATGAAATACCCCAAATACAATCAATAGAAAAAGATGCAGAATTTGTTGGAGTTCAAATCCCAAAAATAAATGCAATAATAATCAGTACATACAGATCACCTACTGGTAGCCTTGAACAATTCCATATTGACTCTTGACATACGTTACTGAAAAAAATTAAAGGAAATTAATATTTCTTCAATGTAAATTTTTTAAAAGAACATGAAAATCTACTTATGTCCTTTGGACTAAAACCGACAATGAAGGCACCATCAAGAATAAGTAATAAAACTCAATCAGGTATTGACAATATATTTTTCATTAAAGAAACCAACATTATAAATACTTATACTAAAGAGCTCCACATATCAGATCACCTAGGTCAAACTTTAAATTTTCCGTACCAACAAACAATACCTAAAACAAAACATTCTAATGTCATAAGAAAGACAAGACCCAAACTCAAAGCCGCTAAAATGGCGGCAGTTCAAGAACGGGATCGTTCGCCGCTTATTTCACACGGAGGTATCTCCGAATCCTTCCGTAGTGAAGGTGAGTTATATTAGACGATCCACTAGTATTGGAGACAATTGCACCTCTAAGTGACAAGTTGCGAAAGGTAATTGGGACTGAAATAGTAATTACAGACACTTTTGGAGACGAAATACATGATTTACTTGCAAGAACATGGGATTATATCCTAAAAAGGGAATATATAATGAGAGCAAGTCCGAGTTAATATTAAAATACCCAAGGCCCAAAAATTGTGTATTAATGGTCGCTCCTAAACTAAATTTTTAAGTTAAAGCGGCAGTAAACCAATCCACTCTAAAGAGAGATGAAAGCCTGGGAGCAACCCAGATTCAAATAGGGTCAAGTTTGGCGGCCTTAGGCAAGGCTCTTTCTGTTCTTCTCAATATGGATGAGGAAACAAATCTACCCTTAATTGAGGCGATAAGTGATGCAGCTAGACTTCTGGCTGACGTACATTTTCAAGAATCAGAGTCTCATAGAGCTTTGGTGAGTCTTACTCTTAAAAAGGATCTTAAGGACACCTTGATCAATGCAGCATATGATGGTTGGTTATTTAGAGAAGATTTAGCGGAGAGGGCCAAGACAATTATTTTTAACTTGCTCTTTAGTCTTGTTTTATAATAAATCTAAAGAAAAGCCATCCCTGGTGGCAGGGATTATCTCCTCTACCATAGCTTCAAACTGTGGTGGAAATACAGTATATCTAACAATAAGAATTTGTTTAGAAGCTCAGTACCTATTGTACTCGACTTTTTAACCCTCATTTTCCAGGAAGGCGGTTCCTTTGGTACTCTGAACTTAACACGGTATGCATTATCGCTTCTGTTATCCCCTGATTCAGATTATAGAATTAAAAGTTTCATGAAAGGAGTTCAAAATTCACGGCCACCAAGACCTCGATATAATTTTACCTGGAATCCATCTATAGTCCTAGATTATCTTAAAACATTTTATCCTAATAACTCCTTGTCATTAAAGGACCTCACATTAAAACTTGTTACCCTAATGGCTCTTATTTCTGCGCACAGCGTTCAAACCTTATCCCTGATACTTTTAGATAACATGAGAGAAAGCATAGATGGATTCCACATCCTAATTCCAAATAGGATCAAAACCTCAAATTATAAACGGTGTCAACCAGTTCTAAATTTTCATAAATTTGACAAAACTCCCCAGATTTGTGTAGCAAATACATTAAAATGCTATCTTGATATAACCAAGCAGCTAAGGAATGACGATAATAAATTTCTTATTATCACATGTAAGTAACCTCATAAGAACGCCAATCCTCAAACTATAAGTCGCTGGATAAAGTTTACCTTAGGTAAAGCTGGCTTGGATACGTCTATTTTTTCTGCTCACAGTACTCGCAGCGACTTCAGCAGCTCAAAGAAAAGGTATTAACTTAGATATAATTCGGAAGACCGCTGGTTGGTCAGATTCACCTGACACTTTTGCTAGATTCTATAACAGACGGATTGTCGACTACAATATTTTCAGCAACACTATAATAAACCTAGCCAATACCTGAGGTTAAAACCCATAACCCCTATGTATATGTTCAATCGCGAATTAGATATGGAATAATGTTCTGGGGAAACTCCGTAAACAGTGGAAGAATCTTCACATTACAAAAAAGGTGCCTAAGAACCATATTTAAAATGGAACCACTAGATTCGTGCAGGGAGGCATTTGTGAATAATAATATCCTTACTCTACACAGTCTTTATGTCTATGAATGTATAATGTTTGCAATAAAAAATAGCTCCACCTTAACAGATCTTCAACATGATCATATATATAATACTAGAAACAAGGATCTGCTATATCCTGATCGAGCAAATTTCTCTTACTTGCAAAAAAACATATTATATATGATAGTCAAAATCTGGAATATACTACCCACATTTTTCAAAACATTAAAGATCAACCAACAAAAAGCAAAACTAAACAAGTTTCTAGTCAAAAAATGTTACTATAGTATTAATGAATTTTTGGAGGAGAAAGATTTCCATGATCTAGAATGTATTATACTTTCCAGCACTTGATGTATTGTTTTAATATTTTAATGTATGGTTTTAATATTTTAATGTATTGTTTTAATATTTTAATGTCTTATTCTAACTGTAGTTTTATCCTTTTCTAGAATTTTAATTGTGTATACTTATGCTTTTATTTTGAATTATTTATTGACACGATCTACACCTTTAGGGTACACTGTATAATAAGTTAAGTTTCTATTGTACATATGATCATTTATCGAAATATACTATACTATACTATAAAAAAAACGAATCCCATCACAAAATATTTTGTATATTTGCAGTTAATATATCTAAATCTATTATAAATGTATTTTATTGTTACAATATCTTTAAACATCTACAATGTGATCTTGAGGACGGGACGCAAATATAAATACAATTTATTGGAAAAGAACTTAATTAAAGTGCTTTTGCTTACAAGACGGCTTGATTATTGATTGTATGTCCTTACATTAATGTCGGTGTTTTGTTGCATTACAGCAGATATATATAATTAAGATCGAACTTCACTTAAGGTAAGTTCGTTTGATCTTATAATTTTAGATGATAGCATTATATTAAAATATTTAAACAAAATAAAGGACACAGAAAAACTAAATAAATTAGAGCTAAATCTTGTAATAAAAAATAATAAAATTATCAAGGAGAATTAACGGTGCCTCTACCCTGCAAAGCGCTAAAGTAGTTACTTACAAGAACTGAACAATGTTTTATTAAAGGAAAAAAAAATTGAATCTTTTGTTTTGTTTTGTTGTTAGTTTTATAAAAGCTTCTGCGCTGCATAAAATTTCTTAAAAATTTGGTACTTGTTTTTGTTTTAATAAATCATAGAGTGTTGCATTATTTTAAATTTTTGAGCTTTTTGGATCTTTGGTAAATTTTTTTTGCAAGTGTTTAATGCTTAAAAGTTTTTGTTTAAAATTTAAAAAATAGTAATTTTTTAACTAGAGTCTCATTGTTACAGAAATGCAAATTTTCATTGGTACGAGAATACAATAATAAGGATAATATTAGGCGATTTCTGGCAAAAATATGATGTAATGAACTAGCAACAAAATGTGGCTGGACTGAAAGAAAAGAAAATTTTAAGGTTCTAAATTTAAATAATATTAAATGTATTTAGGAAGCAGTTAGAGTGAATTTTCAAACTTTAAAGGAAAGTGAACATTATTTTAGAATGGTTGCGCCATGGGAGCCAGAGATCAAAAAGGAACAAAAGAAGGCTGAAAAGTACCCATGAAAAATAATTAGTCTAGACTTTTTGTTAATCTGTTTTTTTTAAATTAGGCCAAGAAAAATAATTTTTTTTTGTTAACTCATTTTTTTAATAAAGCTGATAAAGGCCAAAAGTATTATTCTTTGTTAATTTATTTTTTTAATTAAGGTCATAAAGGCCAGAAAACTATCGTTTTAGTTTATTTATTTTTAAATTAGAGTTTTAGAAATCTTAAAACAATTAGTGTTTTTTTTTTTAATTTTTTTCATTACGACAAAAATATCAAAAATAATTAGTCCTTTTAAGTTATTTTTCCATTATGCTCATTTAAGTTTTAAATTAAAAAATATAATCTTTGCTATTTTTCTGTATTTTAGTCTTTATGTTTTTTTTCATGCCAAAGAATCACTGAAAATGTATAATAAAATATTACTGTTACGTTTATTAAAGAACAATAATTTAATGATAAACAGAGTATATTTTACTTTTATTAACACCACGAGATCTGGACGTTATGTTAATAGTTGGGACGTAAAACGGTTAAATATTTTTGTTACATAAACAATGTTTATTAAACATTTACTAAGATCATTTAATAGTAAAAATAGGAAATACTATTTGTGTTAAAGATTAATTCAACGTTAAAATGATGATATTTAGCAGCTGGTTTTTGCACTCTCAGTTAACAGTTTTCAACGAATTTCCTAAAGTTAAGTGTTTTTACTTTATATAAGGTTGCTATAACGATTCCTTGCTTACTGGGATGGACGTTTGTAAAGATATGGCGAACCTATGGCAAGCCGTTTTAGTTTTTATTACACATGGCTATCAAGTCTCATTTTAATTCGACTTGATTTCTATGAGACATTAGATAATTGAAATTATATGTATTTTCCTTAAGGGAAATTACATTTTAATTACAAATTATAAATAAAATTCCTTTTTTAATAAGCATTGAAATTTTGGGTACATTAAATTGAAAAGATTAGATGTAGAGGATGATTTACATTCGAAATTGTAATAAAAATACTAAAACATTTCATTTTTATTTGAAATAATAATAAAAATTATTTTTATGACAAATAGTAATTTTAATGCAAATTTCGTTAAGGAAATTAGTTTTTATTATAATTAAGAATTTAAATGCATTTCCGTTAACGGAAATGCAATTTCCCTTAAGGGAAATATCATTTCTGTTAAGAGAAATTGTATTTCCCTTAAGGGAAATAGCATTTCCGTTAAGGGAAATTGGCGCCATCTATGAGAGGACGGCTGAAGTTCAAATAATTAATTTTATCAAAATTCTATAAAATGAAATTATTGCACTGTGATTTTACAAAAGATTTATTAGTAAAAATAATTTTTTTGATTGTTACCTTTTTAATTTAAAAACCAACCATTACCCCTGTTCACATCCACCCACAAAATATCACCCACCAGTGTTGCCAGATGTAAAAAGTGAAATTATCGACAAATCATCGACAAATTATTGACAAAATTATCGAATTTTCAGAAAATTGTCACAAAATTTTTATTGATAATGCTATAATAATAGTAATATTAATAATTATGGGTACTACTCGAGAAAACCAAACTCTCCGAATCGAATCGCGATGACACCGATCGACTTTGGAATCGCATCATTCGAATGATGCGATTCCAAAGTCGATCGGTGTCATCGCGATTCGATTCGGAGAGTTTGGTTTTCTCGAGTAGTACCCATAATTATTAATATTACTATTATTATAGCATTATCAATAAAAATTTTGTGACAATTTTCTGAAAATTCGATAATTTTGTCAATAATTTGTCGATGATTTGTTGCCACACAACATTCGATTCGATCGAATCGAATGTTGTGTGGCAACGCCGCATGTGTAAGGTGTGTTTTAACGTTTCTAATAAAGGTTATTAAAACGAAAAGAAGTAGTAAATAGCAAACTGTTGTAGTAATATTATTCATTATTGTTAATTTTGTCATATTTGTTGCATTCAAACAAAATGAAAGATTCTGGCATCCCAACCAAAGGCAGAACTCTGTAAGCGGTGGAACCTTCGGCATCTTCACCACAGATAGCGCCACTAATTTCTCTTAAGGGAAATGTAATTTCTGTTAAGGGAAATAGCATTTCCGTTAAGGGAAATAACATTTTCGTTAAGGGAATTGTAATTTCCCTTAACGGAAATAGAAGTTTATTTTTGTTTAGTTAAAAATAAAAGTAATTCGAGCTATTTTTTGTACACATGATCATTAAGTCTCATTTTAATTCGATGTTATTTTCTGATTCTCTAAATATTGTTAGACTCTATGTATTGCGGTTCTAAATTTTATTCGGGAACAACATTTCAATGAGTATTTTAAATTAAAATGTTTTTAATTTTTATGTCATTTAGGAAAGTATAAAACTATATCCTTAAGGAAAAATGCATTTATATTCGTAATAGTAATTTTAATTCGTTTTATTTTAATACTTAGCCTAGTCTAACATAAATAAAATGTAACATTGTATCCAAGTCAGAAGCTACTTTAATAAAATTGAATTAAAATAAAATCCTTTTAATGTGTCATAAAATTGCTCCAAAAAACTAAAACAGTACAAATAATTTGCATTAAAATTATAATTAGTAAATTTAATACAATTTCTGTTAACGAAAATTGCTTTCACGTTAAGGACAATATTTAAAAAAACAATGGAAATAAATACAACAAATGCATTATTTTTACTATTTGTAAAGAAAATATGCATTAAATTTTAAAATTATAATAAAAATGTAATTTCCCTTAAGGAAAATACATATAATTTCAATTAACTAATGTCTCATAGAAATCAAGTCGAATTAAAATGAGACTTGATAGCCATGTGTAATAAAAACTAAAACGGCTTGCCATACGAACCTCAGTCAGACAAACTTTGAAAATATTAAAAATTCACGAATACCAACAAATGCACTGAAAGTTCTTTCAGAGAAATTGCTGCTATATAATTCCTAAACAACACAACATAAACTTGTTAAAGAGTTGCATAGCTTTTCTAGCAACTAAGAAAACTTTAAACTGACAATTTAAGTTTTTTATAACAAAAATGGGAAGTTGAGGAAATTAAAGAAGTAGAAGAAGAATGCGATGGGCCTGCTGAAACAACATCAGATCGAAAAGTAAAAAAAGAAAACTGTAAAATCTGCAAAAATTGTGTCCTATGCTGTTACTTGACCATCATAAACCTTAACATGTATGAATGCGCATTTCAGGTATAAGCAACAGCTTATCAGTACTTACTAACGCCTCCTATATCGCAGATAGCATGCGAATGATCCTTTTCAATATTGAAATCATTTAAAACCGTTTATGTAATAAGCTTGAGTCTTTTTTGCTTATGAACATTGAAGAAAATTTGTTACAAAATAAAGATAATGAGGAAGTAATTTTAAATTATTCTCTTGTAACAGTTTTTTAATATTTTATACTTTAGACTTTACTAAAAAATTATTTCGCAGAAAATTTTAGAATTACCTACAACAAATTTACTTAAACTAATATTTTAAATTAATTTTTTTTAAAATATGATTGTCATTAACCAGCAATATTTTAAAGACGAATTCAAAACAACAAAAACTGGATAATAAGGAAAATATTTCTGATACCATGGAAAATATCCAAATAAATCTTAAAAAATAAAGAATCCAAAACGTCAATTGTTATGTTTAATTGCACTAAATTCACTATTAACCTGTAAATTGAAGAATTTACTTGTTTATTTTAGTGATTTTGAAAATTATATTTATTTTTAATAAATATATCCCTAATTACCTACTATTAAATCTTTGTTTTAGTAAGTCACGTGCATAATGTCTCTTCTAATTTAATTTTTTATTTGATTGTGGGAAAAAATAAAATGTGCTACACGTGAAGAATTCACGATTATAAACTCTCAGTCTTGCCCCGCTCGCTACGGTTGCGTGCCTTCACTTGTTGCACAATATACTATTAATGCCAATTTTTTAACAACTATATTTTCCTAGTTATCTTCTTTAATTCTTTATCCATCTACTTTTCTTATAGAAACTGTAAAAAATTAGGGAATATGTTAAGGTACCTAATTTACTTCTTTTACACTAAATTGTTTGATGTTGTTCTGGATCTCATAAACATTAACGTAAATGACTTATTTAAAAAAAATACATTTGAAGATTTTAATCTTAAAAAAATATTAGGGGCAGCTCCGCTAGGGAATAATATCAAAAATATCTACAACAAAGAAGGCTACTTTGATGAAAATAACAGTAACCGATTTGTAGTACTTACAGCAACGTCATTTCTTAATCATTACCTGTAGACGATTAGAGATTGTATCTAATTGAAACGTCGTAAACAAACAATTACACAAAGACAATGGAAGTCCAAAACTCACCCATTAATCAGTCAAAAACATTGTCTACAAACTTCAAAAAATATGTTTTGTTTTGGTAAGTCAAACATGTCAACCAATTTAACTAATTCAGACTCGATTAATTCAAGGCACTCAAATAGTTCTTGATCAAGATCACCCCTTACGCGTAGTAACGTAAATTTTTAAATTAATATTTTTTTAAATTTAAATTCAGAAATGTCAAACGAATTTAAAAAGAAATATTTACAAGAATATGTATTAGTTTCTACAACTCGCTGATTCGTTAAAATGCGATAAAATTAAAAAAAGAACATTTTTTTCGTGTTATTTATGGGGAGTGGGGGAACATTGATACACCAAGCAAAACTTCAAGTAGAAAACCTTTTAGAGGCAGTCAGATCCATAAATAAGTGTAAATTTCAACGAATGTCGGCAATGTCAGGTTCATTCAGTGCAGACCGTGATCGGTTTTGAGCATCCTGTAGTAGTTTCTTGATATCAGCGTTGGGGTAAAATTTATGGTGGTATTTTTCTTGATAGTGGTTGAGATTGGTGTTCCAGGTAAGTCACAGTTCGTACTATGTAGATTTGGATTTATTTTTAATCAGGTTTCTTCTGATTTTGTGTAGCAGTGTGTTTACTTAAAAATAACGGAGGCACATCGATGCAAGTATCGGTGGAGCAATTTGATACGTATCAATGTGCCCCGGAAATACAAAATATAAAAAAAAATATATTAAAATACAATTTTTTTCTAGGAAAAATGGTTCGATCGTGCAAGAAAAAAACTTAAAGAACCAGCATCGATGAAAATGCCATCAACTCTGCAATAAGCGACGTACTTGAAGAAAAGCTGTCGAAAAATATAATCTAAAAGCAGCCACTTTGCAGCACAAAATAGAAAGAAAAAAGAGATTGGAAGCAGAAAATGAAGATCAAAAAAAATATTCCCCTAATTATTTTTCACATCAGGTGTTTACTGAAGCTCAAGAGGCACAACTTAACGAATATATAATAAAGTGCAGTAAAATGCAGTATGGCTTGACTTTAATCCAGGTGCGAAAGCTTGCGTATCAATTTGCGCCAAAGTTAAGATGTCGATATCCTCCGGCTTGGGATGTCACTAAATCTGCTGCCGTTGATTGGCAGCCGGATTTCGCTACAGGAATAAAAATCTGAGTTTAAGAAAGCCAGAGAATACCAGCGCTGCCAGGTCATTTTATTTCAATAGGACTGCTGTGTCGGACGTCGGACTTCTACAGGAATCTATAAATAATTTTCAAAAGATATAATTTCACTCTAGACCGAATAGTAAACTTTGATGAGACAGGTATTACTACTGTTTTGAATACACCCAAAGTTCTAGCAGCAAAAGTTCAAAGACAAATCGGCCAAATCATCTCTGCTGAAAGAGGTGAACTCAGTTCACTGAACTGGTGACATTTGGGGGTTTAATAATGGCTATAGGAAATTCGATTCCACCCATTTTTGTATTTCCTAGAGTACACTATAGTAGTCACTTCTTATCAGGAGCACCGGAAGGATGTTTGGGTTTAGCGTCGAGAACTGGTTGGATAAATTCTGAGCTTTTTTTGGAGGTGTTAAAACATATTTAGCGGCACATGAATAGCACCAAAGATACACCAGTATTATTAGTTTGCGACAACCATGAATCTCATGATTCGATTGACGCAATTAATTATTCACGTGAGAATGGAATAGTCTATTTCTCTTTCCCTCCACACACATCTCACAAGATGCAGCCCTTGGACGTGGCTGTTTGGCCCGTTTAAAGCAAAGCTGAAAATAGCATTTAATTTAACAACTGGGACCGATTCATTCAACACCGCCTCCAATAATCAACGATAATATAGCCAATGTTGAGGTCAATATGGAACCTGAACCTGCTGAACCATTACCGTCAACTTCGAAAACTCCTTATTTAACATCTGAATCAGTTAGGCCATTGCCAAAAATTACACCAGTTTTGAAAAGAAAGGGGAAAGCCGAGAATTTACACGGACACGCCAGAAAAAGAGAGGCTTCTAGAATTGGCAAATATAAAGGAGCAAAAAAAATGTATAAAAGAACAGAGGCAGCGTGCGAAAGAGCTTAATACAGCAAGAAAGTTGCTAGGATTGTGTCCTGACAAATCTAAAAAGCAGGCGAAGAAAATCAAGAATCGTAAATTGTCTGAAACAGCAAGTGATTCCACAAGTTGTTCCGGCTATTTTGAAATTAAAGATTCATCTTCCGATTCAAACTTCTGCCCATCTAATGAGAATACCATTTCTGCTGAGGAAATTGAAGTGGTAAAAATATTTTACCAAGATATATCCTACAAATTTTTATAACGTCTCAAAGCGATGGAAAAACTACTTTACTTATGTGTTATTGGCTTAAATATGACAATTTATTAAAATCTAAAATTTTTCCTAGAATGCGCGCGGACGACATTAGTATTCTTGCTAAAAAAAAATCTTTAATTTGCCAATATGCATATTCCTACATAAAAGGCCGTCACAGTAAAGGAAATATTGATTTGGTAAGGCAAAATATGAGAAGGCTTGCAAAATTCTTGCAGAATCCAGAATTCTGACATTTAGCTTCTTATACATATTCTCCGTCCAAAGTATTTTCAACTAATAATTTCAGGAATTAATTAAATGGCAAAATATTATCCTGAAACAGAGAGAACCAACCAACGGAGAACTAACCTAAGCTATAAATTTTGGCACGCTGATAAAAAAGATGTTGCGACTTTGATTTTTTTATTAAAAACCTATAGCCGTTTCGTTACAAGAGGCAAACGTGGAAAAGGCGTACCAACGCCAGAAACGAAAAAAACATTTTAATTATCATTTACAAACTAGAGATAAATTTGCATCTGAAATTGATTTTATTTTCTATAGAAGTGGTAAAGGATTTCTTGATGGAACCAAAATTGTACCTAAATATGCCAAAAAATGCCAACTTAAGAGACCCTAAAGCATAACGGCAACTAAACTTCTTAAGCATTTGGCCACAATCACCCAACTTCTCCAATTTTCAAATAATGATATGGAGCCATTCAGCACATTTTTGGGTCATACATTACAAACTCATTGTAATTATTATCGTATTTTTGACAAAGTATCAGACGGCTAAAATAGGCAAAACATTGGACGAAATTGATATTGATTGAAACCCCATTTTTGATAATGACAAAAAAGAAAACTTCGATGCATATCCTATTGAAAATACATATTTGCCAAAATTATATTTAGTTAAATTTAGGCATATTTTACAATGCGTTTCAATATTCTAGATACTGAGGATTATATTTTAACTAAATTACTTAATTCTTTAATATTGACAACAATAAGCAAAAAGTAACTTTACAGGACGCCCAGGATACATTAAATGTAAGTTTTACTTTTAGGATTGCTACAATTAATAATTTTGAACACAGTGTTGCAGAATTACTAGGTAAACATTTTAACAAAGGTCTAACTTTAAAGCCTTTTATATTAGTTGTAAGATGAAACAATCATTTAACAGACTTTTTTGTATACTTTCACAAATGTCTTAAAAGTCATGAGTCATACTTGACTTGCATTAATACGCGTTTTAAATAATTTCATGTTTTTGATTTAGAATATCCTAGAGCCTCTTATGGTCCATGGCTGTTTATACAAAGGGTTTTTTTTTAATTAAAACAGAATTTGATAAACCTTTGCCAAAATTGTCTTTATTTTTAGCTACATTAAATTAAGTACTTTTATTTCTAAAAATGTTTATTTGTTTTAAATGTGCAATATCCTCATCTTCCGACAATGCAAACCAAATCAATGCAATCAGCTATTGCCATTTAAGGCATTTAAAAACCACGTTAAAAAGGTTAATATTTTCAACAAAAATAATTCTGTAGCATCAAAAAACCCTTTTTCGATCTGCAAACTGTACCAAAATAAAAATTTAGACAACATCCAAACAGGTTTAATTAAAAAAAGTGTAAGTTTATTAAAGGACTTAAAAAAAGAAGCATTAAATTTTTCTCTTCATTATATGCTGGAATAGATGTAAATAACCGAGCCGTCGATTAAGATATTCCTATGGAAATACAAGACGTAATTGACGATGTACGACCTATGGCGCAAGTTCTATTAGTTCCAGGTTATATTATCTCCATGAAAGATGTTTTAGTCACACCAGTGATTGAAATACATACCCTTTGGAATATGAATATGGAACCCTAACCATTTTCACAAAACGTAATAAATGAAGACTTATCCCCTACACCTTTTCGCCAGAGTTCTATTATCTCCATGAAAGATGTTTTATTCATACCAGTGATAGAAATACATACCCTTTCGAATATGAAGATAAAACCCCAAACATTTTTACAAACCGAAATAAATGAAGACCTTTTAGCAAGCCTTTGACTGATACTCCAAAGCCAGAGTTAAAAAATGCTTCAGCTTTTGAGCTTTTGGATTCTCCCAAAACTAAATATTTGTCCAATGCTAGCAATCAAGAACTTGCACAAAAAATCATAATTCATTCTAATGAGGTCGTGCAAAAGGCACGAACAGAAAAGTCGCGTGTTCTCAAGCCAATTCAGCCACTTCATACTTTTGAACATCACCTTAGATTTCCTGTTTCCATAAGTAAATCAAAGAAAAATCAGAAACCAAAAGAAAAACTTGGCCAACACGAAAAAAGTTACAAGGAATAGGCAAAAGACCAAAGAGAATATTGAAACGGAATCTTTACTAGTGCCAAAAACAAATAAAATATGTTGTGCCGCCTGTGAGGAAGAACTAGACAGTAAAACAGAGGCCGATGAGGAAAAAATATAGGGTGTGATATTTGTCCAAGTTGGTACCACCTTAAATGCTCAGAATTAAGACACCTCTCGTATGATGTCGCTGCCATGAGAGATTACACATGTGATTATTGCAACGAATTAGGACCTGAATATATATAAACTTGTTTGATTTTGTTCTAGAAATACTACACCAGTTTATTATTGTTTTGTATGCGTAGTTTTATTTTGTTTTGTTTAAGTCCTCCATTTTTCTTTAAAATTTGTTGTTGTAGTAAAAAGGATATCATATCATTATGTTTATTACTGTTTTGTACGCGTAGATTATTTGAGAATTCTGTTTTAAGTACCCACTAAGCAAACAGCATTAAACTAACGTTAATAACGTTGATCTGGAGTAAGGAAAATGAACGTTTTTCGTAATACATTAAAAGGACATTACATTTAAATACATGACAATAACATTACCGTAATGGTCTAAATTAATGTTAATATGTGTACATTGATATACCATCCATTTGTTTTCGTTATCTTAATGGTAGTGAAAATAACAGTAATTAGACGTTACAGTTTGAAAAGTTAACTTTGTAATGTTACAGGACAGTTAAATTTTATTGTTAAGAAAATATCAGCTTTGAGAATGTCATCCTAACAGGTAATTTTAAACATTAGTTTTGCGAGGTTATTTGAAAATACAAGCAACACAGTTGGTGTTTCGGTTGGCGCTGGGTGCCGTTCGAGATGGTTTATCTTTCTATTACGCAATTCACTAACAGATGCGCTATCAAAATTAATATTCACATACTTCCACAGTATGAAAGTATGTATGTTGTATGTGTTAATATTTTTAGTTGTTTACCTTGATAAAGGTAATACTGTATTATTAAGGATATGATAAAAAAAAACTATACTTTTTCATCCCTACTGACAGAAATTTAAATAAGTTAAAAAATTGTTATTGTAAATCCTTAACGGCAACGACTTGAAAGGTGTTCTACGACGGGAACACTGGACGGGAAGTTCCCGTCGGGAATGCCAACCGCAAACGCCAGCGCCAACGCCAACTGAAAGTTTATGAATCGCGCTAAACACACTTTCACGCGGAGCCTTATAAATCCCAAACAGTGTTTTGTTGGAATAATAAATAACATTCTTTTTTAAGCAATAATTTGCGCAGACAATGGTAAAATTAAATTATTAAATATATATTGAATGAACAATCCATTATGGATTGTGATTGAATGCATACCAATACCTGTTATTATTTTTATTTAATTGTTGGTGGTTTACCATGAAATAAACTTGTTTGTTTTGTGGTGGTTTACAGAAAAATAAACTGTTTAAGTTGGCAACTTTAAGGTGTTCAGTACTGCTAATAAGTTACTAGATTCTTGATTGCGGCAATCGCCGAGTTGTTACAATTGGCGTACCATACGTCAGCTTCTATTTCCCGGGCGTTTCCACAAAACAATCGTCTTTGTTGGTGTTTGGAGTTTGTTGTTTGTGTGCAACTTGTGCAATATCCTTGGGTGAGTATTTAATTAGAGCTAGCGAATCTTATTAATAAGAAATTTTTACATATTTTGCTAATTCAGGGTTGCCACCGATTTGTCTAAACCAAATTCCCTGACTTTTCCAGGAATTCCCTGACCTTCCCTGATTTTTTTCCAGACAAAATGTGTTTCCTGACCTTCAATGATTTTTTCAACTGGACTTGGAAATTTTAAGTATGGGGCCATTCAAGTAAGAGGTAATTTTGTAATTTTTAACCCCCCCTTCCCTTTTTAAGCAAAAGTAAGTAAAGCTTATCATTAAAAATATACAAAAAAATCAATGCAATCAGCAAAGACTCCCCCCTTTGGTGCTTATGTAATACTTGAATTTATTTTTCTCTTGGTGGAGAGTTATAACGATTAATTTAAAAACTAAACTTTTATTGAAGTTTATAAAATTCAAAAACATTAACAAAAAATCAATATTTCTTACTAAAAAAACAAACAAAAAATTGTCTATAACTAATTTTTTCGGGATAATTTTTAATTTAGGGTTTTGTTTCTTGGGTTTTTATTACATTAATTTTTTGTTCAATCTGAAAATAACAGAAATAATGAAATTTTTAAAAATGCCTCTGAAATTTTGTCTGCAGCAGGTCTTGTTTATCAAGTTGATGAGTTCTTATCAGTAAATATTTGATAGTACAAAAAAAAAGATTATATTTCTTTCATCATTTTTTTAATAGAGTGATGTAGACAGAAGTGGGCCACCTGATTTATTTTAAGACTAGTGACATCTATGTCAAACCGCATATATTAGCTATCGTATTTTGACGTAGGTAACTTTTCATAAGCATTCGGGGGTTATAAACCTGCTCTTTCACTGTCAACAAACAACGTGCTCCGGATTGCGGCGAGAAAGTTTTTACCCTTGCACGCTTTCACGCGATTTGTGATCGAATTTTTACAAGAAATACTCAGGTAAATATGCAATATGTTAGTTGAACATGTAATCTTTGGAATGCAAAGTGATTTTTGCCCATTATTCTCGTTG